CTTCATTTTCTGAAGAAGAGTCTAGGCCCGAAACGTCAGCCTTCCTGCTCCTCTGATGCTGCTTGGCCTGCTGTGTTCATCCAGCTTCACACCTTGTTATCTACATTGCATACCTTGCTATTCAGAGGTACAGCACTAAAAATGGAAAATATTTACAACAGAAGTAAATCAGTGAACATTGTTTTGGGGGCGGGGGGGTAGAAAGAGAAGAGAGTAAGTAATAGTTAGTATTTTAAGTGGTAACTCTGAAGAATGATGACAAAGGCCTTTCATTCTATTTGGTACCATCCTTCGTCAACCAGTCATTTCTAATTTAAACTGGACAAAGGTGAGTTAATGTCTAACTCAAAAGAGGTTTTCCAATCATGCAGTAGATGTGCTCAGTCACATTAGGGTGTTAACCCAGACTTCACAATCAAGTGGTTGAGTTCAACAACCTGCTGAGCTACAGGAAAGTGTGCCAGAAACGAAGCAAGCTGAAACCTGCAGAGTTGGCCATTTCTGAACAGGCCATCTCAACATATTGAGATAACTTGCCCTAGAATGAATTTTCATATGATACCAACCTCCCAACTCTTCAAAGCTTAGTGCAGTCCTTAGGATTTCAGAAGCACAAAGCTGAGTGAACCAACTGTGAATACACAGAAACAGAACTTTGGATGCAAACTGGAGGGTGATGCCTACAATAAGCTGAATAGTATGGTTGAAATAAAGGAACAATCGTGTGAATTTCTGCATTTGTTACTAATTGCCAACTATTAGAAACAAAACGGTTAACGTGTAGGGTCAATAAAAAGGTTGGATGACAGGTTGAATAATATCCATTTATAAATAACATGCTGCAATATTGATGGAGAGAACAGCCAAAAGACCAATGACATTGATACTAAGTTAGAAAGTAGCATCCTTACTGGTTCAAGATATCCTCCGATCTGGTCTGCAGCAAAATGTTCAAGTACATGCATCTGCTCACTAACTTTTTTGCATCTTTCATTAACCTGAAGGTCAAAAGTAGGAAAGATAATTAACAAGCCATGGCGTTTTAAGCAGAAGGCACAGAACATAAATATTCTGAACAGGCATTATGCAAAAGGAAGAAATAGTGTGTTTGATAGATTGAAAATAACTCAAACAGAATGGATATCGTTAGTTGTGAAATGGAATCTCAAATTCAAAAGAGCAACTAGACTACTAAAGAATCAAGATGGTTGGTAGAGGAGGTCCTTTTATTCTAATCTATTTGTTGGGAAACTGGCAGGATTGAATGGAATGTTAATTTTACATCTCTCCCAGTTTTCTTTTCTATTGTAGATAGAAGTGTGTAATATTGAATTAGCTACAATTCCTGGTATAAACAGACTGCATGATGGGGGGATGGAAGATGCCTATAATTGTTAAACGTGCAATGGCTAGCGCACACTGACGGACTACCACGTGCTCCTGGCCAAGCAAGGTCTTTGTCCACTAGCAGGGAGGAGACAATTGAAAAATCAGACTCTGCTGCATAAACAAGGACTATTAAGCCATAACAAATGTTAAAGTGCATCCCACTCAGTTTCAAGCTAAGAAAGGTTAAAATATCAGCTCAACCCTGGTTCTTGGTTGTTTTTATCTAAACAGAATTTATGGATCATACCCATTGTACATATTGTGAACACCACCAGCCTCAAATAAAGAGTTTGTGGGCAATCTCTAGTGTACACACCAGAAAAAGGTAACTGGGCTCACAAGTCAAAATAGATTCTCCAAAGAAAATGGACTACAATTCCCTGCCCAACCTCCCAAGACCATAGGCAAATTCTTCAACGGTACCCCGTGTTCATAAATATTCAAACCCATTAATAAGATGATAAAAATCTAGCAGTTACAGCTTCTCACAGAAAAGGAAAATAGGTTAAGATTTGAAACTATTTGTTAAGTATCAGTATTCATTTATTTAATACATCATATGTTATTACAGCAAACCCTTAAAAAAATCACATGCTGTAACAAACTCTGAAGACAGTGGGAAAAATATGGAGCTTGTGTTTTGCAGGTGTATAATTATATGGAGAAAAAAAAATGAAAAATTACCTGTATATTCTAATGACACCATCACCACTTTTAATTTCCCCATCTTTACCAAGTAGGCAGTCCAACCCTATCAGAAGCTCTTTTGGATCTACAGGCCCTGAACCCATCGTATCAAAGGGGTGTAATTGTATCAATTACCTTTTAAAAAAAATAAAAAAAATAGAAAATGTCAGTTTTTTTTTTAAAATTCTCCTTCTGACCAAAAATAATTAAGTAATATTAGATTACAGCCTTTATTTATAATTAGGATCAATATGTATGCAAACCTAGTCCAGTAATCTTGCTGCACTCACTTGCACACATTTAAATTTACAATTCCTGAAGGTTGCCTTACAAGACATGACTTATTCATTCAGTTCTTCCCTACCATCCCACACTACCCTCCCAATCGGTAGAAAAATCACTGATCCAGTTCTGAAAATGCAACAATTATACTTTAACATGATTAACACAATTTGTAAAGGACAGCAAATGACAACACATTTTCTGCCTCCGGTCACCTGCTCTTTCTAGATGCCCAGTGTAAGATTAAAGCTTTCTAGCATTTCTCTACTGTTTTAAACACAATTGCTTACACATTTCAAATTCAAACATTCAGGTATCACCTATTAGTTTAGGAATCTCTTTAACAGGCCTAAACTAAGCAGATACAACAAATCAGATCCCTCCCAGCTCAAAGTGATATCAGAAACAGCATTAGAAAAACAAGGGGAACAGTCTTCTGACAAGTGTGGTAGGGTTAGGCTTGTTTATTACTAGCTGAGTACAACATACATTGTTTTGTGTAAGGCAGCTTTGTTTTCCTCCTGGACTTGAATATTTCAGTTAAATTGCCCAGATACAGCCATTTATTAGAAATTAAAAGCACAGCAGCCAAGTTAAGCATTATTACTTTTCTCCCCAACTCCACCCTACTCAAAATTCTAACACCTATATTTGGAACAAATTATTGAATGGCAATATGAACAGCCAATTTCAGAATATAGGTGTGGGCAGTGTCACAATCCATCCTGTCCTAACTGCATTAACAACATACATTCAAACTTAGACTGAGTCCACTTGGGAAACTAGTTTTCAAATTACAACTCGCTGGTTAAAGGTATAAAGTTTAAAAAGGAGGCAGATACGCTATAAAAAAAATGCAAAACATTTCTGCAAAACAAAATTGCAGAAACCTTTATTTTGACAGGCAGTTGAAATTATTAAAAATGGCAATAGCAAAGATCTGTAAGTTTTGCATCAGAAGGCACTCATATGTTGCCACTATGTAACAGTATTAACAGCTTCAAGCAGGTCGCTTAAGAGTTCTTACAATTAATGATGTTCTGTTGAGTGAAGTGCTCTTTCATTGACTGTATTTCAAGTTTTTTTTTAATAAAACAAGAGCACTATTGATAAAAATATGCTATTGGTTTTTTTATATCAGTGCAGATAAAGTACTTAATTGGCCCCACAGTGCTTTGCTTAAAGCCATTTAATTTTGAAACTACTAAATTATAGTGGTACTGATAGGTTGTATTCTAATAGTGGGTATGTAGTGCACAAGTCTAGTGCCTACTAGACAGTCAGAGCTTGTGTTTTGCTATTTTATGATTCAAAGAAGCAAGCTTGAGTATTTTTTGGGAGGATGGAAAAAGTAGGCATGCCTTACAAATAAACGCCTTTTCCCCAATCATTATTCAAGGATATAGAATGCCTTGGTGAATCACAACAACTGTAGACTATACCATGTGTAATCACCCTACTGAAGGCCATTAAACCAATAAGCAGTATTGATAGTCAGATCTTACAATGCAATGCAATTTAGCTTTTGCTTCTAATATGGTAGTGTCAAGGAGAGGCCAGACTCAAACGCAGGGACTGTCACCAAGGTGTTAAATGCTCTGGAATCACTCAAGGACAAAAATGTTGTGCAACAGCCAGGTAGATGGAGCATGTTTTAAACAAGTGTTCAGTTCTTGTCATTTCCCCAACTGAAATGTGAAAAGCTACTCCTATAGAGGGTTATGCAGTGAGATGGTATGGCCAATTCATTATGATGCAGCCTCAGCAGCATTTTCAGGTTGTGCAGTTGAGCTGGATTCCTGCAGACAACAATGCAGATCTTGCCGACTCTTCTCCTGTCCCACAAAGACAGGTACAGAACAGATAGCAAGGAAATGGGAAGAGACAAAACAGTGATCGCCTGCAATTCAGCATCAGCTACCAGAATCAGTTGAATGCAGATCTCCAGCTGCCTGCTCAAAAGGTCCATGGTCTGGGAGACTACATAAAAGGGGGTGGGGAAGAGATAATTAAAATTTAAATGTTAAAATTTGACAGCATAATGCCCATTCAAGAGGAAGCCTGTGCACAACTTTTGAAACTGTTTATAATAATGCATTATTAACATGTATCCAAGTTAAAAACTTGTCCATGGCAGAAAGCAAATGCTAAAAAAAAAACACTTTGGCTCATAAAAGCAGTTTATTTATGAAACTATGTTGCCAAATTTGCCAAGGATGAACTTGAGCATAATGTCAGAAATTTTACAATTTTAACTGAGGGTCCAGATCAAACAATACCTGTTAGAATTGTTGTGCCTCAAATGAAACTCCGCAGTACTGTATACAAATGTTAATTTTCAGGCAGTAAGTCAAGTATTTGATTATGTTGGGTTCTTTATCGGAACATACAGAATACTTGTGAAGTCACAGAATTTCTGATCATTGTATT